TGGAACGTATAGACGAACAGATTGATTGTTCTTCCTTCTATTTATTATAACAGTCATATCCTGTCCGTCAGTACATGATAATCTATTTAATATATAACGACTGCTCAGATTTTGATGATTTTGTTTTCTAATATATATTTGTTTGGTTTCAGATGTACAAAGGAGCCAATATTCGTCTCATCTCATTATCATAATGGTATGTCTTATTTATTGATTAAGTATAAGTATTGGAATAAGGCGTTTTTGTATGAGGAAATTTTGGCTCTTAACTGCAACATATACATACATATATAACATTCTGTACATATATAGATTGTTAATTACGGCTTCTCGTGATAAGACACGCCTTTTTAATAAAATTTTTGCACGGAATATAAAATAATATTGTTTCCTAGTAATGATAAACGTAAAAATTATATGCATTTACCTATTACTTTTTGTCGGTGACTACGTCCGCTTGGACTTCTGAATCAGGCCCACAATCAGAGATAAATATATAAAGTTAATTAAACAATACATATACTAATCAACTATTATTATCGACACCTACAGTATGTGTCAGGTAACTTCTTATACAAAAAAAAATTTTTTGGTCATCTGAAGAATATAATATAATTCGAGATAAATTATACCTTTTCAAATTTTGGTTAGATAGAGAGGAGCTTGGACGGTGGAGGTGAGCGTTTAACGCGCGTTAGATAGGGGCAACTTAAACCTATACCTGGGTCGCAAGTCCCAGGGACTGTTGAAGCTCCTCTCACTACAACGATGGACCCGGCACCCGCACGGTGAAAAAATAAAATAATGCTATGTGGTTTCGTCTCTTAATTAATCCATATTATAATAAAGAAAAAGTAAGCAGAAATAAATCAACATCTCTTCTAAATATTAGAAGTAAATATAATATTTTAATGTTTTATATTTTTTTATAGAATGTTCTCTAACAATAACTTAAAATAAATTATTTATATTTTAAAAAGGAAAATACCGTAATTAGGGTGATACCCATCATTTAAGTAATGTTTAATTTATAGTCAGCGTAAGAAAATTATAATGTAGATTTGTTGTAAATGCAAATTGTACCTCTGAGATAACTAAGAACCTCCATTAGGTATCGGTGTTATTAACATATATCATATATGACACTGATTTGAAAAAACTGAGGAAATTTTTTAATATATATATTTTATACGCAGACACTGTTTCAGCATTGAGAAACTTCATGAACAATCTCCAAGGAAATCTCCACAGAATTTGTTTATATTCGACTCTGTAACGCGCTGGTAGTTTTAAAAATAAAACTAGTTATCTAATAACATCTGAGTCTTAATACAATTATAGAACGTCACTGTGTGCAATGAAAATAAACACGGAATACTATGGAGTACTTAAAATAATACTCAATGTAAGAAAGTCACCGTTTAAATAAAATAATACTATCGTATATTCGGAAGTATTAAATAATTTTCTTTTTATTTCTCTGTGTAAATTCTATTTTATCGAGAAATATAGTTACTGTGGTTTCCATCTAGAGAAAATACTATTTCAAGGTTAGAGATTTCAATTTACTGTGAACGACGATGTTTAGTTATGCTATAGAAAATATTATACATTAAAGAAAATGATATATGCAATCGGAATTAAAAATGCACGATATAATTAAAAATATATAATTTATAGTTTTATTTTAATGTTAATTGACATTTTAATATGCGCTAGGTGTGCTTCTAAACGTTGCACTCGCGTCGCCTTTGACGATATGTTGACATGTGACGTCACCAGCTAAGATGGCCGCCCACACTGTCACGCGTGTTAATTGAGCGTCGGTAATATAAATATTTAAGGCAAAATATGTTATGAGGTTCTAAGATCGGAACTAAAACGATGAAGTTATAATTAAGGTCGCCCTCAAATACTTCAGTTCATGTTTATTTTGGTTGTTTGTTATTCAGAGGAAAGAAAATTGTAAAGGTCAAAGTTTAAATGTCTTCCGATTTAATTTTACAGTTGCTTGATTTTTGTATATATGTACTTATATTTATTTCATCATCTTTATTTATCCCAAACATAATACCTATTCAGTGTAAGTGAAGCAGTGGTCACTATTATTATTCATATATATTATGTATATGTATAACTATAAACTATAATTTGCTTCGCATGCGCCCTTGACTTTGTAAAATTTACTTAACAACGTCTCAAGACTGTTTTGATGAATCCGAGAAATGAAAACAAGTATTTTAAACCAGTAAGTCGACCGTAAGATCCCGTTCATAGCACACATGTTCTTATATTGTTGACCAAGTCATTGAAATTCTACTACGATGGTTTTTCTCTCACAGACCTAAGATTAAGAAATGTAGTGTAGTGTGATTATAGGAATTGTAGGTAAGTTGTTAAGAATTTGGAATACCAATATAAAAGTACTAAGTAGGATGTGATTAACTAGAAGTTATTGCTCCAAATCCCTCTCGTGATGATGAATTTATCGTCCTCTAATATCTATTTGTTATTTTATAGCACTCAGCCTTAAGTTGATTTAATGTTAAGAACTTAATCAAAGCAATATAGATTTTCTGATACCAACAATTTCAAGTATGTTACGAATAACTGATAGGGATCCTTGATCGAGAATAATAAAGAATTACGGGGAAGGTCTTGGTGTTAGTATATTTAAAAAAAGTCACGCGGCAGTCAGTTTTACCGCGCTTTTGAATCACAGAGTAAAAAAATATAAATTTCATTCTATAGTAACATACCTAAAGGCGTACTTATTCCTTTTTTATTATGACAATTGTACATATATATTTTAATTTATTACATGTTTGCATATACACTTCAAGTTGTTATTCTGCCAGTGTCGATGAATTTTTCATTCCGCGCTATCAATTTGAATTTCAATGTAAGCATGCACTGCTTAAATGTCAAGTGATTATAGATTCCTTTGAGTATTTGTAATGCTGTAAGGAGTGTGTGTAATTGTTTTTAATTACTTTACAAACATACAAATTGTATAACCCGACGGTATTTACGAAGGGTTGGACGTTTTAACTAAATTGTTTCACCCCGAAACAAGATGGAGGGAGGCTGTTGGGTAACTAACGTAAATTACTTACATTGTTCTGTCTGATTATGTTGTATTTTGATTGGTGTACAAGAAATTATTTAAAGACCTTTTATTTAGTTAAAAATTTTGTAATAAATAAAATTATTTTCGTCGTCAAATTGGAGTACAAACATAATTTTTAAATACACTAAGAACAGAAGCATCTCATGTCTGCGGCATCTGTAGTGCTGTTTGCGGCTAGGTCAGTTGTTTTGTTGTGTTGAACTAAATTGATCTTTAAATTAAAGTAGCATAAAGCTGCTTTTACATTTCAGATTTTAATGGACGAGAGTTTAAGTATAAAAAAAGTTATAACACTATTTCATTATTCTTGTGCTATAATGGAATTAAAATTTAAATAAAGCTTATTCTTAAAGGTAATATTTGCTTTGATATACGATTGTAGTCTATTTAATATTAATATTAAAACTTCTATTAGGTCTTGTATAACGTGTCATTATGTAATTATTACTTACTATAAGTCATTACTGCGACATTTTCGTAGTATAATTTCCCATTCGTTTTTAATGTCAACAATAATAACGACATGGCACAAGCTGTTGTTCCAAACGTCGAAATCACTTAAGTGTTTGAATTTAGAAGAAATTGTAGATTTGATGACGTCACTCTGACGTATTTCCGGTTTTTAATTTTCTTTAGTACATCTATAAATACAATATTTAGTTTGAAGCGTCGGCTGTATATTGCATGCCGCAGCCGAGCGATCTTGTATATTAATCTGTATTCGTAAGTTTTCATGTACTATAAATACCTTGATGACAATGCTATTGATTTATTATTAAATAAATTTTCTATCAAAGTGTTTGTGCTATAAGTTTTAAATTCTATTTTCACTTATTAAGTGAGTGATGGCCTAGTGGTTAGGGGGCCCGCCTTTGGTGCACGAGGGCGCGGGTTCGATCCTGGCAAGTACCAATGTGATTTTTCCAAGTCATATCTACATTCTAAGAGTATTTAGATACCACTGACAGACGGTGAAGGAAAACATCATGAGGAAACCTGGACTTATAATTTCACTATTATAAGTTTGAAATCACAAACCCGTCTTGAGCAAGCATGGTGATTAATGCTCAAACCTTCTCCATGTGAGAAAGAGGCCTTGCTCAGCAGTGGGCTCTGATAGGCTGATGACGATGACGTAACGGGTGTTGATTCAATATGGTTGCATTCGTATTGTTTTTCTATTACGTAATATTATTTGCTCGATATGTTATCGCGTGTGACGTCACCATTGCTAGATGTAAACAAATCGGTTATTCATACACAACGCTGTGTACACAAACAAAGAATAAATCATATTAATTGTTATAAATGAAATTAGTATGGTAATAAGTTTGGCTGAAATATAAGAAAAAAAAATTTCTTATTTGATTCGGATTTCTTGGTTACTTTTTAAATAATACAACTTAGTTCATACAAAATCGCTTACCTTTACATTATAAGTGACAAAATCCTTTGAGATGACAGTACAAACAGATAAAACGTGTTATTCCTCTATTTTATTCCTTTTCGTAATAATCTTATATTATACATATCAATATTTTCTATTTTGAATATATAAATTAAACAGTACTTCACGATGTAAGAAGCTAATTGTTAATTAAAATACTTTTATAATGAAACCTACGACTAGATATACTACGCGAGCTTTATTTTTGTTAAACATACATACTCTCGACATTTCGGTTACTTTTTAGCAATTGTGGTCACGGGCAGACGAGATGATCTCCATCTCTGTCGTGTTCGAGTTTAGTTTATTCGAAAAATATTAGTTTAATTTAAATAAAATATCTATATGTATCAAATGTTTAACATATGTTATGTAATTTGTTTCAGGGGGATCATACTCCGCGGCAGGGTCACACCGCCAAGCATGTTGCGCCCGGAGTCACCTCTCGCTGATCACCGCAGCCTCCTGCCGCGCCGCCTGCTGCCGGCCAAGGCACAGATCGCACCCGTCGACAAGAAGAAGAACAGGCGATCTCTAGAACTGAACCCTCCGTCCAACGAACACGCCCCCTACGACTATCCCAAACTACTCATATCCAAAACAACTGATTCACTCAACACAGAATGCCCTAGGAAACTGATCAACAAACAAGACTCCTCCGATAGCCTCAAGCGAGCGTTGTTATCAAAGGAAGATAAGAAATGCGCGTTGAAAGAAGTAGACAAGAAGGTGTTAACTAAACAGGACTCAAACGAGAGCCTCAAGAAGAATCCGCTCAGCCGACAGGATTCTAATGATAGCGCTAAAAGAAGGGACTCGGACCCGAAATGGCTGAGACCGGACGAAAAGAAAAGTGTGGAGATTAAGAGAGGCGGTGATAAGAAAGGTCTACTGGAGACTGATATAGATGACGCGTGTAAACGGATCTATGAGAGGAGAACGGGCTGCGCTCGACCTACCCTGCCTCCCGTCGCGGAGAAGGGTGTGTCTCCCAAATCACCGAATGGAAGCCCTATCACGCCGGGGGTGGTCGCCGTAGCTGAGGGGGTCGTGCGATGGGGTAGTGGACTACTGTCTCCGAAAGACGAGCCAAGACTAAGACCGGCAAGGAGCTGGTATGGATATGGAACACTGCCCACCGACGGTGACAAGGTAGGAACATACATATTTACATTTACAGATATATCTATAAAACCAATACGCATTATTATAGTCATTCCTAGATGAATTAATTTACAAATCAATAAGAAATTATAATATACATTTTGAGATGTATTTCAAGATATCGATATTCGATACTAACTCTTTTATAGGTGTAAGTGTACCGGACCATGTACATATTAAATACATAAATGAGTATTAATGAAATTAATTTAAAAATCTATTCATAATTTCAATATATTCGAAGCTGTCTTGAGACGTGTCTTGGGTTTTCTGTACCACGTATAATGTTACAGTGGTAATAACCGTTTTATACAGGGTGACTGGTGAATTACTATCAATATTTAAGGAGAATACTCGGTACATGATTCTCATTCCAATTATGTAAAAAAAATAGGTACTTAATTTTTGACAAAATTTCCCTATAAATAAATAAAGTGTTGACACGTTCCAAGTGTTCAAGTGTGGACGCGTGCGGCGGCGTGCTGATACAACACCACGTCACGACACGCGTATGTGTGAGTGTCAGTGTATACCTAATCTGTAGGGTGTTCATACGATGCGTAATTAATTACACAACTTTTGGTTAACTTTACTTAGAAGTTTATTAATATTTATGTTATATTAATTTTTATTATGTCATATATGATCGTCAAATATCACGTCCTCAAATATCGATAGTAATTCACCAGTCACCCTGTATATAACGATATATTTTTATTATTAATATAATATTATTTTATTAACACGCGATAAGTATATTCTGTTATGATATATTAATATCATGCGATGTCGTGATAATGACATTTTCCTCGTTTCAAGTTTTTAAAATAAACATGGGTTATTTTGTTGGGCTTTTACACTGTTAATTTTGTATTGATATGTAAAACCCGCACTGAATGTGACTACTTTATTAGAACATACTACAAAGTCCTTATAATTTTTATGCTTAGTAACTCTTATTCGTTATGTTGATAATTTTAATTAAAATGAACTATATGGTAATGTGTATGACAAAAAAAGATGGATAAAAAATATTTAATTATATCAATAAATTACCATAATTAATGAAAGGAATTAAATTATAAATTATTCGTTCGTTTAACTGCTTAGAATTTTTTTCTGGAAGTAGCTATTTAAATTTGATATCATGTATTTTTTTTACGATCGAAATTCGTAAAAAAATATAAAGTTCTTGAAATATGTAAATTTTTAAGTGATATTTTATGTATGTTGAAAACAGTAACACTGTTACAAAATTATATGTAGGTATTAAAAAATAATATTTTGAAAATCAATATAATATTTCCCTTATAAAAAGTAAGAAGAAAAATCGTTCACAAAAGTTATGGTCTTTATAGTAGGTGCAATCTATATTTTAGTTAATCAAATCCTTTTGAAAATTTATTTTTTCAATATTTAAAAAGTTTTTTCTATATAGTCTTAAGTAATACAGCCACGGGCAAAAGTATTAGGCACCCTACAGTAAGACAAGTTTTAGGGTGTTTTAGCATAGCGAGTGTAAATAAAACTGCATTTATGATTACAATGGTTTATTTTAAGAAAATAATTAATATTTTGTAGGTCCACCTTTTGACTTAATAACCGCAGCCACTCTTTTTGGCATTGACTCTACCAGCCTGAAACATTCTTCTCTTGATATATTTTTCCATTCCTGCTGTAACGCGGCCAATAGAGCTTGTTTATTGCTAATCGAGTGCCTGCGGATATTTTTCTTTAAAATGGACCAAATATGCTCAATCGGGTTGAGGTCTGGTGATTGTGGTGGCCAGTCCAAAAGATCAATATGATTTTCAGTAAACCACTTCATGGTATGCGCGGACTTGTGTGCAAGTGGCGTTGTCTTGCTGAAATTTCAGGCCATCGGTGTTTGTATCACCGAAAATTTGCGTTATCGACGTTGCTAGTGCTGTTTCCAGAACTTCAGTGTATTTAACACTATTCATTCGTCCCTCACACAACACCATTTCGCCCACTCCGTCGGCAGCCATGCAGCCCCAGATCATTATTGAGCCTCCACCATGCTTAACAGTGGGAACCACACATTCTGGGTTGTATTCTTCGCCAACCCTTCGCCTAACATAAGTCACACCGGGTGTTCCAAACACCTATGCCAAACGAAAAAAACACATTTATTTTCAAAGTTATTATTTTTCTTGCAGTACGTTATTTTAAAAACATTTATGTGTTTTAATATTGTACATAAAATAAATAACAATACCTCAAAGTTAGATTCGTCTGACCACAGTATGTTGGACCAATCTTCCACTGACCAATCTCTATGTTTGAGTGCCCACTCCAACCGATTTTTCTTATTGTGTTCTGACAGCCACGGCTTCTTCCTTGCTTTACATCCTTTTAATCCAGCTTTAAGAAGTCTTCTTCTCACAGTATAAACACTCACTGAGCTGCCTTTTGCCTCAGATAATGCTGCAGCGAGCTCTAAAGCAGTTTTTTTTCCTGTTTTGTAGAGACTGCCTAATCAACAATCGATCTTCCCGTTCAGTAGTTACTTTTCTTCTGCCTGTTCTTGGTCTATTTTCATGGGTGCCAGTCTCTTTGAAGCGATTGATAGCATATTGAACTGCACATCGCGAGCACTTCACTTCTCGGGCTATTTTAACCTGAGACATGCCTTGTTCATGTAAAATCTTAATTCTTAGACGCTGTTCAGCACTAAGTTCAGATTTTTTCGGCATGATTAACACGTTAAATGTTAGTCTTTAGAATTGTGATAGGAATAGTTGTGTAGAAGACGTGTATGTTCACTGCAAGCACTGATAACACACTATAACCCGAAACGCAAAAAAAGCAAATTCGAAGAAACACCGCTTAGGAGCACACCTGGATGTCATAAATATTTTCTTTTATCTTAATTTGGTTAAAAATTGCCGCTAATACAATAGCTAAACCATAAAACACACACTTGACCGCAATATAATGAGATAGTGACTAACAATAGGGGTGCCTAATACTTTTGCACGCAGCTGTAAAATTCAGTATCGATCTAAAATATTAATAATGAAATAAATAAAAAAATCATTCAAACAAAAATTTTATTATATTAATTTCATAAAATAAATGTACGAATAAATGAATAAATAGGTGATTAAATATTAATATTAATGTTGCATAATGTATGCTAGTTATAATATTGACCGTCGTCACGATTGAAGCTCATGTAAATGTTATCTTATCAATATAAAATGCACTCGCTGCCTTATCACCTACCAGTTTAAGATAATCTCTGTCTTATTTCATTTCAATATTATAACGATTGTGTTTTCTTTAAAATAATGTTATCTATTACTATCTATAACGTGATATAACGATAACAGCTGTTTAAGATTTCGTCTTTAGATGTCACTATGAATAGTCATATAAACAGATATTTTTTCATATATTCTTATGAAGAATATTTAAAATTCATTATCATATTTTTTTATGTACAAGCCAAGGAAGCTTGTCTGTAAATTGCACTGAAACTATATTGTACGACATACTTCGACGAGCGTTGCTTTTATACATGAAAGAATTTTATTACTTATAAAAGTTTTATAGTTTTAGACAAAGTTTTAATAAAGTGTAATACATTACACATACAGACGGACACAATATTTAAGAACAATCAATTATCATTTGTCATGTTGCTCAAAATCACAAATATTCATTGATAAGTAGAATATGTTTTTGTGTAATGCAGGTTGTTCTTAAAATAAATCTACGAAATTCATTGTCTGCTAAAATACAGTAAAACATAGAGTAAGATGACTTCAGATTTACGTAATTTTATAATGTAGTTTTAAAAATGTAACTTCATAACAGACGTCCAACCTATTCGCTTTTACCTAAAAGTGTTTTATTTAAGAATTACGTATAAAAAAAATTCACTGTTTAAATTAATACACTGTCAGATAAAGATTTATTTGTGTGCAGAATAAAAATAAAAAGTTGTTTCTTTTTATTGACGACATTCTTAATGGCATATCGTTGCTTAATATTAGAATAAAACCTTGGAATTTGAATAATATTTTAATGAACTCATTAAAACAGACGAAAAAAATACGAGAATCATCTAGGCTGAAAAAATTGTTAAATTTTTATTTTTTTTACATATATATTATTTTTTGCATACCGTAAATTGTTTTGTAAATAACTTTATAATTATAAATAATTATAATTAACAAATTTCAAGGTTAACATTATCCAAAAGAATTTTAAAATTCGGATATATTCTACATCTGGAACTCATTAAGGTACATAATTAAATTTAAGTTTCTGGTTTTTCCACAAATCCCTTAAACTGTTCCACGTACTTGCGTTGTATTTTCGTTAATAGGCATAATTAAGATTTTAAATACTACCAACATTTTTCCCTATTGTATATGTAATACCTATATGAATTTTCCGAGTCATATATACTTTCTAAGAGTGACAGACGGTGAAGGAAATCATCGTGAGGAAACCTGGACTTATAATTTCAAATTATAAGTTTGGACAAGCGTCGTGAATAATGCTTTAACTCACTCATGTGATAAGAGGCTTTTGTCTAGCAGTGGGCCCTATAGGCAGATACTAACATGAAATAAATGTAATAAAAACACAAAAAGTTCAGTTTTAACTCGCGTCTGACAAAAAAACATGACGAACTGATGGACACTTTCATTTCGTCTTCATCTGTACACAAAGGTCGGGGTTCAAAGTAAAATAGACAGCAATTTTTATCAGAGAAATTCGAAACTATGGCTTCGTTTAGAAAAAACTGCATAGTAAAAGTGTTTTAATTAAAAGTATTATGTGAATGATCTCGATCAATTTATATTTAGATGCAATTTATTAGATAGTGCGAGACTTCGTCTAGACGAATCCTATGAGAGACAATTGATTTTCCTAAGATGTGCCTACGTATATAAATTATTCGGAATGTGGAATAACAGCAGTTGTCCGTGAACTATCAAGAATATTAAATG